CAACTGAGTCGCCCACTAGCGAGTCGTGCAGCAGCCCCGGGGAGCCGATCAAGAAGTCGGCGCGCGAGTTCATCATCCCCATTGCGGTGGAGGGCAAGGGGTACGTGACGCCGCGACAGCGCAGCCTCGAGCCCGAGACCCACACCGCGCACTCCGCGCACACCTCGCGACTGGCGCGCACGCACAAACCGAGACGTATCAGGTATTCATACTAAATCTATTACAATACTAACCCAATAACGTCATACAAAAGTTAAATAAGATTTAAAAAAAAGTTTCCTTCCTCTAGATGGCAGTACATGTTCGTCGGGCTCTTTACATTGTTCTTATAACTTTATTGCAAAGGTTGATTTGTCTTAATATTGCATCGTTTTATACATTACAGCAGTCTCGTCAGCGGGGGTGAATCTGAAGAGGAAGATGATACTCATATGCATAGGCTGAGGTATGTACAAATATTTGCAATACATTACATTAAAAAAAATGTAGAATAAATGTTAATTTTGTTTAACCGTAATATTTATTTATATATATAGGTCGACTCGTGCTGCGCGCGCGGAGTCTGTCAGCTCTGGAGAAGAAGATGAAGAGGACGAAGGATTCCACTTGCTCACCGCGGAGAATCTCTTCTCCACGCTCTTGCACAGGGTAACTATACTTACAAATATTTATAGGTTTTTAAAGTTTTGATATTGATAGTTTTAAATTATTTATGTTAATATTTTAGGTGCGCGCGCTGACTCAGCGGCTGAACGGCGAGGAGGGTCCCGGCTTCCCGCAGCATCCGCATTCGCTCTTCAACAATCTGCAGTCGCCGTTCTTCAACAGGTACGACCTCCAAGTCCTCATGTGTGGCTTGATCCCCCTCCCTCCCCCTCCCACTTATACACCATACGTGTCTAGCTTGTATCGGGTTTTAATGAGTTGATATGATATTAAAAATGAACATTTTTCATAATTTAAATAATAAATTTTTTCATTAACTTCACATATACACAAGTTGAAAATTTATCACTACAAAATAGGCAACGTTGACAAGTGAATTCTAACCATCATACTTTTCTAGGTTTTTTTTTTCATTTCATTGGTTTACATAATTAAATTAAATCATCAATAACTTTCTGTTGAAAATAATGTTGGCATGTAATGTTTTCGATTTTTTTTACCAACTAATATGATATTATTAATTTTCCGCATGCAGCCCACACTTACCAAGGAGACATCTCTTGTGAGTATTCAAATTTTATGTTTTTTTTTTGTATAAAATACATTATTCATACTTTTAAATAACACGTAGACTTTATAATCGACAACTTTATTTTATTTACATGCAGCACTCATAAATTTGTGGAAAGTAAACGAAGTGTCTCGGAAACGTGAGTTTGCGTCCTACAATCAACAAAAATGGAGCTCTTACGATCGTACAATGTAAATTAAAAACACCAAGTAACACAATTTTTTTTCTCTCGATTATGACATAATTAATAAGTGTAATACGGTCGTTGGAGCTTATATACCTTCAATAAAAAGCGACGTATTGAATGAGATTTGTTTCAGTGATTTATCGTGTATTCCGCAGACGCGAGGGCTGGGGCTCGCGAGAGCTGCACTCCGACTGGGAGTCCATGTTCAACAAGAGCCGGCAGCCGATGCCAAGAGGTGAGTGACGCTTCTCGCATACCGTCACACTGTGTCGTACAGTGTCGCACTGTGTCGTACAGTGTCGCACTGCGTAGCACTGTGTCGCACTGTGTCGTACAGTGTCGCACTGCGTAGCACTGTGTCACACTGTGTCGTACAGTGTCGCACTGTGTCGCACTGTGTCGTACAGTGTCGCATAGTGTGGCACTGCGTAGCACTGTGTCGCTCGGGGAAAACGTTGCCGGTATCGCACACGCACGCGTTGGCTATACGCACCTACATCGCTTTGCAGTACAAACAATACACATTCACGCTACAATCTTGCTTTGATAAATCACAGTAAAACAATAATGAAAAAAATATATTGAATTTGTTTCAAAATAAGTCTAAACTACACTTGATTAATTATTGGAAACAAAAAAAATCAAGTGATGAAAACAATTGATAAGAGAAATGTTGATGTTGCGGCTTGGAAAAAAAATTGGCTTAGAAATCAATGTTTAATATACATATACATTAAAAGGTCAGTTTGCGCTCTTTTAATAAATCTTAAGGGCTAGAATCAAAAGACGAAAAAAGCTGTATGAAGATTCCAAAAAAATAATAATTTGCAAAAGCAATATAATGTAAAGAGTATGATTTTATTTTAATAACAAACCAATCTCTAAAAGCCAAAATGAGATAAACAAACGTTAAAATTACAAAATAAAAATGAAAAGCATGAGTTTACATTGTCGATAGCACAGCGCGTAGTTAGCGGCGAGCACGGCCTCCGACACTCACAACACGCGAGCTTCACTAAACAAATGAATTAACTATCTAGCCATATCATGTCATACGTCGCGACTCGAATCAACCGCGTTACCAGCGCGTCTACCGCGCGTCAACCGCACGTCTACCGCGCCTCGACCGCGCCGCGCGATGCCAGCGTCGTTTTCCACCGATAGTTTGAACTTACCTAATATTTACAACATATTCGATAGACTATATAACATCATGCCGTAGTCTATCTTATATGTTGTTCGTATTTTTTGTTGTTTCGTAGATTTAATTAACAACATTAATATTTTTAACATTTTTTTTCTGCATTGTAGTGTTCAACGTTTTTTTCAATTTTGCATTATATGTGCAGGTGTTGATTTTCTCCTACCCGCTAACCCGAGCAGGAAAATGTTGCATTGTTCTACGTTATTATTATAGTTTTTTTTTTATAATTAGCAAAATGCATGAATTGGAAGTGAAAAGGCATTATTCAATTATTATCTGGCAATGCAGTAAAGTTTGATAAAATAAAATTAGAGTAAAGTTTTTTTTTCAATTTTAGACTTTGGGCCATATTATTTGGAAAGTGACAGTTAATTTGTTTGCAAAGTGAGACATGGCGTAAATGTGTAGATAGTGGATGTGGTAGCACTGAGTATAGCTAAGTGTCGGTCGGGGCGG